CTTGTGAAAACGGATGTTCAATCAAACAGCCAGCCCAAATGACAATTGCCGCAGGCAAGTAAGGCTTGCCGCAATTCATCAGTGTACCCTCAAAAGAAGAATGGTTAGAATAGGCTGCCCAAAAAGGACATAGATGAACAAAAGCGAGAAACTTATGCCTTATGGCATCGGATTCCTAAAGCTTGGCCTGGCATCCAAACAATAAAACATGTCTTTCACCAACAGGGACCCACTGGCAATGGAACACCCCCCAAACCTGCAAAAAGTGGCTCCCACCATACCAGTTTTGGAAGATTGCACCATACCAGTGACCACCTGTTCCAACGCGTCCCACTGACCAGCTCTGGTGCCTCTAGTGCAGGCCGCTGTCGGGAGAGCCACCCAGGCTTTGAAAGCCTCAGGCGGTCGCCCTGCTGTGGGTTTTGGGGGGTCCACCTCGGATATTGACCGATCGGGCCAGGGGTGGTCAATGTAAATATGCCACTAGGAACAAGGTTCGCTACAATGGGGATGGGTCAAAACTTGGATCCCCAACCCCATCTAGTTTGACCTTTCAGGTAATTCATGTTTGCCTACCATGGTGTATAGTGGTTCTTTCAGGTAGATACTAGACCACACTGCCAGGTACCCACCCTATGGTGAAGGGCCCTTGGGAAGCGTAGCATCTGGAGCGCAAGTCACGTCGGTAGGTCAACCAAGGTATGATGGCCATATCCTGGCGAATCTTCACGGGAAGGAGTCTAATATCATAAGGGAGAACATGAATCCCAACCACATCCAGTGACCCATCACGGGATGCCATGTAGGACATCATATCTTTACCGTATACATCTGTATGGGGCTCATTGAACAGGCTTGAACATGGTAACATCCGGGGTTCAAACAATTGATCCGTCCAGTCCCATGGAGGCTTTCGGAAGTCTTCAGGTCCCAGACATTGCTCCGTTCGTAGCGATGCCAGGAGCCCCTAGGTTATGCAGGGTTGACACTTGGTGGGCCATGGATCATATATTCTGCTTTGAGTTGACTTGGTCAGTTGACTTTTGGGACAAAGGAACGTAACAGTGACTCGACCGCTCTTTTTGCCGCTTTCACGTTCCGACTGGACCTTCGTCCCTTCCGTTTACCACCCGGCCGGCCGCATGGGCGGGGGGTACGGCGCGTGAGGCGGCGGGTGAGGATAGCCCCAAGGCATGTGATGCGGAGGCGGTGGATCCCATCCTGAGGCCGCGGAGATGACCAAAACATCAGAAAAACGGTTTATACCGTACCTTCACAGAGTGGTGAATTCTGATCTCTTTTTGAGGTTCACACCAAGGCACACCAGAAAGAGAACAAAAGAAAACAACAAGGTCATCCTGCAAACACAAACAACAGATACAAAAAGGGGGTCACACACAAGGACAGCTCGGTATAGAGGTCGTGGAGGAAAACGGATCCTTAAAAGAATCGGGTCATTCTGAATCATTCTGAGAAGCAACATATCACCGTGTAAATCCATGTCCACTGTCCACTGTCCACTAGGGTTGCAACGGAGTTCCAACTGAACACATTGATTTATCCACAATGGATCCTTGAAAAACCAACTCCAAACACAGCGGGTCCCAGTTGCTAAACCAAAATCACAGCAAGCCTTCTAAAACTGTACAGCAAATCTTCTAATCCTTGGTTTGAGAAAAACACGTACTGCAAAACTTCTAAGACTCCAAACACAGTGGGGTCAGAGTTGGACAAGACCACAAAAAATCAACTATCAAATCAATATGTATTCATGACCAGAACAAAGAAACGGAAAGACCTCCTCCTCCTCAGAACACCCTGGCCCAAGCACAACCAAATTTATATGTTTTCCACCTCTCCCAGCCATCCACCTCTCCCAGTCATCGTCCCTCAAATCCAAGGCTCCCGGAGGCGCCGGAGGCCAAGCCTCTTCTCTCCGATCCTCGTTCCGCCGGTCCTCCTCGCGCCGGTCCTCGCTGCGTCGCCGCTTCTCCCGGCGCGGCTTCCGCCGGCGGTTGTTCCGCGGCGTTCCGCTGCGCGAGCGGTTCCTGCGGCGAGATCGAGAAGACAGTTGGTTCAAGCATGTTCAAGCATTCCCCGCTACTAACAAGAAGCTATACTAGAGGCTGGCATCGCTACGAAGAGCAAGGACGCGAGTTTCCGTGGTCTCTCAACGACAGTGCGGGGGGGGGCCATCCACCAACCCTGACCCTTGGATTTCTTTGACCATAATTGGAGGACGATCTATTTTCAATCTGACAAATAGTACTTTACATAATAGTATTAGCCATAGTATTCTGATTACTATATTTTGTCAATGAATAGTAATAATAATTGTAATCTGATTACTATTTGAGTCCTTCTCTTTGGGCAAAATCTTGCCCTGAATCCCAACCTTCCAAGGCTGGCGGGCTCAAGCGAAGACTGGACACACCAAAAGCTTAAGCCCGCAGCTCCTGAAACCTTAGTGGCAAGAAGCTACTAGTAACAAGTCGCTAGCTAGTAACAAGAAGCTACTAGCCACCAGCTACTTGCTACTAGTAGTAATGCACTTGTTACTAATAGCGATGCACTTGTTACTCTGTGTTAAATGCGATTATGATACCAATCATTTCACGATCCCGTTGGCTTCCAATCATTCCTTGCTTGGCGATGTCAAACACCAAACAGGATGCAACGCAACAAAATCCTGGGAATATTCTCTCACCCCCTTTGTTGAAATTAACTCTTCACCCCCAAAAAGCAAGACCTCAGAATTCTTGACATAAGACTCCCATCCACCTCTCCCACTTCATCCCTCTGCTCCTCGATCTCGATCGACTTCGACTCTTAGATCGCGCCCTGCCCCCTCTGCGGCCATCCCGGCCGTCGCGGGCATCCGCTGGTGGGGGTGGCGGGCGCTTGCATTTTTGCCTCGGAGCTTTCGCGGCCACCAGTGGAGCATGTTGCAGAACATGCCTGTGAAAGGCTTCCTCTGGCATTGTTTTCCATGTACCACTGAGAAAATCTCAGTTCGGCAGACCCCAAAAACATCCCAAAAAACATAGCCCTGAAGAGGTAGCTGGACACAGTGGAAAGCAAACCTCGAAAAAAAAGGATGTTTTTGTGTCACTCACAACAGCAGGTGAGAAAGGAAGGGCACTGACCCAGGGCACGGCCCTCCGACCCTGTTCCGGGCACTTGGATCCGGCTTCCAACGAACGCAGTGCTCTGAGTGACCACACTCCCTCTGATCTGAGGGAGCCTGGGACCAAGCAATTTGGTTTTAGACTTTCTGGTTCATCAGTTTTGAAGGTGTTTTTTTTCGTTTCCGAAGCCCCAACAAGTTGCACCGTGGGAAAAAGGTTGCCTCCAAAAGTGGCCGAGGGAGTGTCCCATCCGCTGGTCAGGGGGAAAGGAATCGGATTTTGCACGGCGCTTTCACTGTAGATGTTGCCACACACAGGAGAGTGGATCCCAACAAACGCCATCTACTCAGATCATCCCCTGTAGCAAATAGGTCCTTTAGAGGCATAAGCATATATATGTGTATATATTATATTACTGTATTATAACTGTATGCTTAACTGTATATAATTAGTTAGATATGTGTGTTAGAAGATAGGTCAAAAACGGGGATCCTTGAACCGCTCCGAGCTACACTTCGATCGCATCCGGAAGCTTTCCGGTCTCCAGGATGTCATCCACCGCTCGGCGGACCAGTTCCTTGCTGAGAGTGGCGTTCCGCGGCCGCATCCGTTGCGGAACGCGGCCGCAGATGTGTCATCTGGAGAACCGTTTGGTGTTGCCGAAGCTCTTTCACCGGGTGACCAGAACTGTGTGGCACTCTGCATGGCATATCTTGGTTGCCACTGGAAAAAAATTGGGTGATTTTGTCTCAAAAGCAGACGGAAGAGATGATCCCGACAGTTGTTTCAAGAAGAACACTGGAAACAAAGGAAGCCTTTAGTGGGTTTGGTTCCATATGTTGAGACATTGTGAGCCTGTGAACCTGCGAGCACCCAGTACCAATGTTGCTGTTAGATCCATAGACATCCAGGACCCTCCAAGAGGTCGCCAGTTAAGACCATTTTGGTGCCAACTCTCAAGACGTTCAAGAGGAGAAGAATGAAAAAACATGTATTTGAAGAGAGTATGAACTCAACTGATCGATTTGCTATACTAGGACCTTACTTGAGAAAAAACAGGCATAAAACGTGTTGCCAACCAACCCCCCTGCAAATGAACGTCTATATTTGAGCAACTGCTCTTCTTCGGTCTGCCCAGCTTCGGTCTGCTCTTGCGTCACGGTCTCGCCTTCGCCCGCCTTGGGCTTCACGATCAAGTGCAGTTGCTCCGTCTCCTTGGACCCAGGAGCACCCACGCCACGGAGCAAGAGCCGACAACTGGCCTGGCGTTGCGGGGTCCGGGGACGAGTTCCCGGGGACGAGTGTGACCCCCCATGGTTTAGGTCAAAGCACGGCCAAACATCAGGCATCCATTCAAGGTGTGTCTTTTTGTTGTTCGCTTTTTAAGTGAACATAGAAGGATTGAGAAACTGACTATATAGATTAAAGGCCCTGGGGAGATGTGAGTGTTGTTCATTTTAGGATGATTCATTTGATTCCATTTCTTTCCGCTGCGGTTTTCCGTGAGAACGTCCACGACGTTTCACGTGCGGAGGTTGCAAAAGCTCTGATGGAGAGTAGAGTGGAAGCTGAGGCGTTCGGGACGGAAGGAAGTCCCGGTTTCAGGACACCTCTCAGGTTTAGGGATCCAAGTACCTTCTCAGGTGATTGGAGACACGCTGATGTAGGTTTGGACTTGGATCCTTAGGGCACCGCTGTTGTTTGACCTAGCAATTTCTCAGATCTGGTTGTTCCAGCAAACCTTGGTTGCTGAACCCTCCACATCCCCTCCGGGGTTGCTGCGTCCATGATACAAATCGTGGGCAGGGGTTGCATTGAGAACTCAAGTCTCAGAGTGATCTACATGTCCGGCCGAACGATCTACATGTCTCAGTTGAATCAGCTAACTCACTCAAGGGGGAGCCTACTCCATCTCCTAAGGTTGGGACTACTCTGAATGCATCCACATCGGAAGAGAGGTCTGACATGATTGGCCGAAGAGAGCAATGAAGCTAGAACTGGCGCAAAGAGGAGGTTTGTCCTCAAACATGTTGCAGAATTTCAGGAAGTCAGCCACTGTAGACAACTATCAACACCCTGCAACAAAGGAAAGAAACCTTGAACCAAACGTACGCGACCTTGGTGGAAGCACGTTTGGACATGCAAAAACTTAACAAGGAGCATGAGGTGTGCAGCTACTCACTTTAGTTGTAATTGTGTCAGGGCTATACTTGGGCCATTTGGTTTCTACCCATCTAAGAACAAACCACGAAGCAACTCCAAGGAAAAACACAGAAAACGAATATACTACCCACATCCCTCCAAAATCAGCGTACAATCATCTAGGCTCCGTAGAGTAGGGTGTTGAATGCCACCCTACCAAAAAATTCACCGTATGCTGACCAAGCCAGAAACAACAACTCAAAAAGCTTAACGGGAACACTCAGTCTAGCTACCTTCATTTTGTGATTTTGTGTTCTTTCCGAGCAAAATCCCACTTTCATGGCCCACGTCTCCCGGTCGCGAACCTCTGTGGGCTGAAGAATCTCCCGGCGGTCTCGATCGTTTGGTGTGGGGCTCTTACGTCTGGACCGACTCTCTGGTTCGTTTTGGGGCGCCTTCTTCATGATGCCCCGTACATGAGAGGCCCCAGGGCCCAGAATCGCCAGCCAGGCTTTCTTCCGCTTCTCCTCATCAGTCTCTCCCTCGAACTTGTCGAAGGGCACGAAGACTCTCACCTGGGTGGTCAGGTTCGTTTGGGGGGGGCGGAATGGATGGGAATGATTCCTCCAAGTTTGTTGACCAGGGCTGGTTTCTGAGTATATATAGATGATACAAATTCCAAGAGATGAACGCTGAAAAACGATTGGCTACAGCATTCCCTCAGGATCCCTTAGGAGGACCGTCCAGAAGGTACGACTGGACCCTCCAACCATCCAAGAATACTTCGCTCAGGCGTGCCCAGTCCATCGAACTCTTCACTGGTCGAACAAACCTTTCTGACTCCAAGCATCTTCACAACCCAAACCTGCATCCTTCCGCTGCCAGAGTCTCGACCCCAAACACCGCTAGTTATATACATATATATATCACCTCGTCAGGCGCATCGACGTCCCTTGAACCCGCATTCGTCAGCGCTGGTCACCCTATCGCCCAGTCACCACCAGGTCTTTAGGATCCACCACCTTCTCTTTCTCCTCTTCACTCCGGGGATGTCGGATCTCGGATTGCGCATGCGCGTAGGGGCAGTCGTCCCCCCGCGGGCACGTCATATTCTTGAAGACCTGACGAGTCGAGGCGCGTCCGGCACGTCCGGCGCCCATGGCGCGCCGGAAGAAGCGCGCTATGTCACCCACTGAGAGTACAGGGTCACCTCCCAACCAATCGTGGGCAGGCCTGGCAGGTGTTCTTTGTTAGTAGTTACAACATGCCATTTTTGGTCTACCAAGTATCCAAACAAAGCAAGAACCCAAACCAACTTCACCATTCCACATCCAGGTCGTTCTTCCGAAGGTCAACGGAGTTTCTGGTCCTACCACCTTCCGGAAGTGCGGGGTTACGAGTGGCCATCGCGTGTAGGATGGTCAATTCCCCATGGCAAAGGAAACCATTTCCAGCAGCTCCAACATGTCACCAATTGAAACCTGTTAGGGCCTAACAACCCTCCAAAGGAGACCTGTTGGTTTCGGTGCTGGTTTCTAGCAATTCCGCCTTCATCCGCTATGTCACGTGGCAGCCGCGCCTCATAACAAGGCCTCGTCTTGAAGCGCTCGGGCGCGCGGTGAAACTCGTCCACCTCCGGTGTGGTTGGCGCCTCGGTGTGGTGACAAAAAACCAGGCAGAGGGCGAACGGGGTGTCCCTGTTGGACGCTTACATTACTTTTAACAGTTTGCACATAGTTCCAACCTCGCAAAGTAGCCAAACACAACTGATATATATATATATATACTTATATATATACTGATATTGTTTATGTGTTTTGTGTTGTATTGGTTTGCTGATAACGATTCTCGAGGTGTGACACGTGATAGCAGGGATTGTGACTTTGTATATACTTTGTACTAACACTGATTGTTTCGTCCTACTTATTCTGTCTGATCTAGCTGAGCTTTACTACAACATGACCTTGACATGGACACTTTAAAAATGGAACATGACTGCCATGAAGCTGTGTTGTTGTACCAAAACAACGTGTGTTGGACGTGTACTCTCCAAGCCTAAAGTAGTCAACTCACAAACCTGTTTGGAGGTTATATTAACTCTACCACATAGGTGCCATCTTGGTCTTGTAGCCGGTCTCCCCTATACTTGCATGCGCGCACTTCCCACTGAAATCTTTTCCGGAAGTTGAGTATTGTCAAGCCACCAACAAATGATCCGCAAATCCGAACAAGGACACGTGACAAAGGGAGCACTAACAAATAAACAAAAACCACAAAACAACACCAGCGTTTGTTTGTAACAAAACAAAACAACATTGTTTGTTATAAATAAATATAACAACAATGTTTGTTTACGCTTTTGGGCTTTGGTCCTCTTCTCCTCGTTTTCTTCGTTTGCTTTTGTGGCTGGCGGCGTTTTCGCCCCAGCGGAGCCGCAGCTTGCGGGCCTTGATCTCGATGCCTCACACGAAGCAGAGGCGAACGAAGGAAACCGGATGGCCGGAGTGGAAATGGATGGATGGACTGGAATGGACTGGGTTGGATTGGATTGGATTGGATTGGGCTGGATTGGATTGGACTGGATTGGATTGGATTGGGCTGGATTGGATGGAGATGTTCCTCCCCTTTTTCGGGTTTGACCATGGATTGGACGGAGGGATGATGGGGATGTTCCCTCCCGTTTCGGTGTTTTGACCATGATTGACCTGTTAGGACATGATTTGTGGAACGAAAAAAAAGAGGAACTTGAGGAACACCTATATCTTTCTTCTACTACGATTTTACCTATTTATCTGTCTATCTATCTATATATAAGTATATATATATGTAAAGACTCAGCCCTTCACGCCCTGTTTTCTATATATACAATATCATTCTATATATGTACTGGTACCTTCAATAAGGGGCATCCTCTTTTCTGAAGGTTCTTGGACCCGAAAGTTCTCAGCTGACCAAGACGTGACAGGTCCTTCTCTAGATACACAATCCTATTTGGAGTGGAGGTTACTAGACCACTTTCACAAATGGATGAGACATGCAAACCCAAGCCTTCCACACCTGATGCATAATTAGAGTTCATGCACACACAACAACTCTAGTTTGTTAATTAATATTTGTTACTGTTATTCCCATGTCTGCCGGTGGAATCCTGCAATCAGCCAATCCTCACGCCGATTTCAGGTGCTGAATTACATACCAACTCCAGTGGTTGGATCCAGAGTCCAGTGAGCTACCAACGCAAGTCCGGCTTCTAAAAAAATGGTCAGTGACATCAAACATCGAGCTTGGTGGAATGACTTCTGAATCCGAAGACATCGCCCCACGTTCTTTGACCAGGAAAAGATCTGAGAACTTGCGTCCGAATAGTAAGCAACAAGCTTGCCCTTCGGAATATCATCCCATGGAAAGGGAGCCAAGTGTGATGCAAGGTTTGATGCTTTGCTAGAAGTTTTTTGTGGGATGAACAAACCAAAAGCTTTGAGGCCGGAGTCTTCCTGTCCTTTCCACGCTCTCTCCATACTGATTGCTCTGCCGGGGAGCCATCGACCTTCTTGATTGCTTCTAAAGCACCTACCATGGACCAACGAATCAAAGACACACCCAAGTCAAGTCAAAGGTTGTGCATATGAAATGTGTAGCGCAGTGAAATTAAAAAGGGACACTCCCCGTAGATCTTCGGGTCAAGAGAAATGATACACAAAAACAAACCACCAAATGTTCGACGCCATAGCTGCCGAATCGGGGGTTCTCCCGATTCAGATCACACCGGGCCCAGATCACTGAATCCGCCATGTGTGACATGTACTGACAAGCACAGCACATGTGGACCAGGAAAGTCGAAAGAAACTTCGGATTTATATAAAGTATTTGGTGAATGGTTTATGTTCGTGGTCAAAACAAAACGAATGAACGTGTGTTACCAATGGACATTCTGCAGGATAGAACTATATTCCCCCCTTGATCCGCCATGTGTTTGTCGGCTTTTGAACGTGCTCAGGAGGAGTATCTCAGGAGGATGCGCAAGGTTGGTGGAGAAACTCATGCGGAGCTGAGAGATGCAGGCTCGGACCTTCTGAAAGCATCTGGTGTGCTGCTTGTGACCATTGAATCATCGCTGGGACGCATCACTCCTGGGACTCATCGTCATCTTGAAGAACTCCCCAACCAATGGAGTTTGCTGGTCGATGTGGGCTCTTCCTAGGTCTTTGAGTCGCCCTATAGTTCAATCTACGCACCCACCGGACGCCCTCGCTCGACATCCCCGGACGGGATTCGCAAGCGCGCCTTCAGGGGTCTTGAACTCGGCGAAGCCAAAGCCACGGCCTCGGCCAAGGATGGCTACTGGGGGTAAGACTGGTTATGGTGCACTGGGAATGGAGGGTTGTTCCAAGATGCAAGTCACAGTGACCTGCAATGTTCGGAGGCCTTCGGGGACTTCTTGGTCATTGCCCAATGAGCGCATTCGAATGAATTCTTCAGGTGCAGTCGTCCGCCACTATAGCCTGCATGTTTGATACATCTTGGATGCGCTTAATCAGACCTTCAAAACACTAAACAGCTAAGCACACAACAAACACATCCCATGGTACAGTAATGCAATATGCCTATGACCAACACATCCCGGGCATAGACACTTCCAGGGTTTCCGTGTATCTCTCCCAAATCTACCCCCATCACAACCAAAAATACGGTGTATTTTTTCCAGAGGGACTCCTCTCCTCCCATCTCCTTTCTCCTCCCATCCTCCTCCCTCTCCGTCTGTCTTGTCCCCGGTGTAGACGTCTCTCCTCTCTCCGTGTCCACCATCCTTCTGTGACCCAAGGGACTCACGCCATCCTTCTGCACCGACAGCCTCCATGAGACCATGCCTTCGATCTCACCGAAGAGCTCTCGCACCTGCAAGGGGTGTTGGGGAAAAGAAAAAGACCTGGAAAAAAACACCAACCAGGGCCTTCCCAGTGACTTGATTGGAGTCCATGGTGACCTTTTACAAGCGTTTCTGCCCGAACCAACCAGGGGATCAAGTTCGGTCACGAACGGAAGATCCAGGAAACATGAAACCATGTATATAATCGTTGTACAATACACATTCTGCTTGAAGGATGAACCCGGCCTTTTTCGAATCTTTTTGTTAAAGTCCGGTAGTCAACACATGATTGAAGAAAAGCTATCTCACGGGCAAAACAGGCATGATTGCCCAAGCCTTGCCCGTGCCGCCAGATGAGGAGAAGGTTGTGAACGGAACACCAGAGTTTGCTGGAGAAAGCTTCCATGCAGCATCTCATGGTGGTTTATGTTCCAAAATTATGATCAACTGCCCCGCCACCAAGAAACCAACCCCTCAACAAGTTTCACATATAGTTCATCACATTCACATCATACACCCGCAAACTAGCTCTACCTAAGGGTATCTATGGAGTCTCTGAATTCCGATAACATCCTTTTTTTGTGTATAGAATCCAACTGGCTTTGAGTCTCCGTCTAAAGACACTCTGTCGTCTCGGTCTTTTGATCAGCACCTCCTCTTCCGTGGTGTCGAAGGAGATGTTACCCACAAAGACTGGCCATACGTCTTTCCGCCGCGGTGGATCTTTACGCTTTTCCTCAGTCCGACATTGTAGGTTTGTCTGTGGGTCAGGCTGCCCATGACACCTTTCACTTTTGATTCGGAATGCTGGCTGCAGAATGCATTTCGATGTCAGGTACATGACTCAAGCTAGGTGAAAATCAAGGACGTGCAGCCTTGCAGCACAAGAAAGAGCTCTAGTATTCTTGGTACGGGTTGATTCGACTGTTTTGAGTTTTGACGTTGGATCAATAGAGCACCCTCCCAGTTGCCCGGTGTCAGACACGGGTCTCTCTTCCAAAGGAAGGGGCACCAAGGTGGAATCTATTGGAATTGAGTGGTAATGTGTTTGTTTAAAACATATACAAAACCGCTTCTCTCCACTGAACACCATGACGTGAACAAAAAATCATATCATCATAGAACACAAATGAACGCAATCTCTGACAAGACTTCTCACACATGCCATGCCATGCTGTATCTTGTGCATCACTAGTCACATCGTCAAATGCCAGGAACATAAAACAACCAACCCACCGAAACAAACAAACAAACAAACAAACAAACTATATATGCGTGACTAACTTAACACGATCAAGGACCTTTCTGGAACAACTCCTAGTCTCTATGGGCTTATCAGGCCCAGGCGGTCTCACCAATACCAACGGCGGCAAATGCCCAAGCCCCGGCAGCAACCCTGGAATCGGTGGCAGCCCGGGCGGTACCCCTGGCATCGAGGGCATTCCCGTCATCCCTGGTATGTTTGGCATGCCCGGCAGGATCAGCGGCAGCCCGGGCATCTGAGGAACTCCGGGCACGCCGTGCGGGACGGGCGGGAGGCCTCCCGGGACGGGTGGGACACCTGGCGGCATGCCACCTGGAGGTGGTGGCATGGGCAAACCCATGTTCGGAGGCTGTGTGGGCAATCCCATGTTCGGAGGCGGGAGGCCACCCGGAGCAGGTGGTACCGGGCCGGTGTTGACCATGGGAGGACGCGGAAGCCCTGTGGGCGCCATGTCCAGGGGCGGAGGCGCCGGGATCGGGGCATCTGAGGGGTTGGACATGATGCCAACCTTGCCCCGGTCCTACCCCCCTTCTAGAAGGGGGGTAGGTACTATAGAGCCTAAGGACTGCGGTAAAAAATACGTCACAAACTGTTGCGATACTTGAACCACATGTGCGAAACGGAGGACAATTTGCTGGTTTTGGTTTGAAATTTCGATAAGGGTATAGTTGATTCAGGCCCGGTGGAATTCCAATGACTGTAGCAACGGGGCAAAAAGTCCAAAGACCGCACAAACAAAAAATAGTGCGTGGTAGGGTGCTTTAATGTTTGACAATGTTGCGTCATGCTAATTTCGAGCCTTCCAGTCTTCCAGCTTGCAAAATAGAATGTTTGTGTCCGAATGGGTTGTGGCCCGGTTGAAAGAGTAGTCGCAACAAACACTTCACAAAAAATGTCCTTTAAACAAGTCACTGATAATACAAACACATGTTTTTGCGTGTAAGGGCCTTTCATGGGTCGTTGCGTCAGATTGCAGTCAGCCACCCAAAGTAAGTCAACAATCACAATCCCTCACCAATAAAATCAAAAATGGCTTGCGTGCATGAAGCACCCAGGCCACCCGGCGCTGGCGCAGATGCTGCAACCACGCGGACAGAGAGCCTAGACGGAATACCCTGTCTTCGAGTGTGCTTCCATACTCCAGAGCAAGCCAGATGTAGTTACAAGGACCAAACACAGAAACATAGTCTTCTATCTAGCTGCTGTGTAGCACTTCTTCCACCAGAGCCAGCCACTTGAAATTATTCAAGCAGCCGTCGAAGACAGCTTGTCTGGCACCCTGGCCTAAAGCCACTGGTCTCATTGGCACGCTTCAACCTGAAGATTGGGTGGTGCAAAGTCATTTCCTTGTGAACATACCAATTAGCCCATTAGATGCAGTGCAACGTGAACCGCTGGCACAACAGCTGACTCACAGGCCTCGGCAACTTCATCTCATCCCATGTTTGCCTTGGTCAGTGAAGTTGCGCTGTGAGTGTGCGAAAGAAGACTTCCCTATGCTGATGGCCATGGCGGCGCGTGTTAAGCCCACATAAGGCATCTGAGAACAAGGATGGCATCTGTCACCTGAGGTGAAAGGCGTGCGAGATCCATGGTGCCAAACCCAGCGTGCAACTAACTTCCTTAGTTCTTGGTGGCCAGTGTTCGGATTCTCAGCCTCTCATACCCGATGTTGCGTCAATCGACACTTGCAGGAGAAGTTCGGTGTCGGTCTTGACCTGTGACTCTGTACAATGAACGTAGCCTGCGATCATCCAGCAACATAGAATGCCTGGGAATGACCTAATTGAAGGTCTATTAAATGACCCCTCCCCAGGTCTGGAAAACAACAAAACTATATATATATATACACACATAAAAATTGAGCCAAAAGTGTGCCTACAAGCGATCTATATCTGCAAATCTCAGCATATCTCACCCTTCTTTCCCCAGGTTGACTACATACACCCAGTGGGCTCAAATGTCTGCATCAAGCGTACGCAGCGGGAACGGAAAATCCTATTTGCACAAGTTCACAGCCAAAATGTCTATACAATCAAGGCATGACGTGCCACATCACCCCTGGCATAAAAAAAAGATACTGGGGTACCACACCCCGTCATTTTATAGAGGATATGACCAGGGGTCTCAATGTACCGTGCAAAATCCAATCGGGCCGTGGTGCCATGAGACATGTTTAAAACCCCTCCAAGACTCCCTCGATGCTTTTGGTTGCACAGAAGTGCCCCGAACGTTTTGCCCGAACCTGGCCGCCGACCCGAAGTGTCCAGCTGCCCGGTGGGCGGAAAGCACATGACGATGGAACTAATCCCTGAAGTTTCCATCATCTCCCCGAACTTAAACCCCCTTGGCAAATGATGTTTCATTGAATTTGTGGAAACAATGTGCAGGTTCCAAACATGGAATATCCATACATGATCGTGATATGGTAGAAGAAGAGCTACATATTGAAAGGAACTTAAGGTTTCAGTCGAACGCAAAGGAAGAAACAAGAACAAACGCAGGCTCTATGTATCTGTCCGTTTATGCCTGGTTGTCTCCACTGTAAGCCTCTGTAATATGTATTTGACTTAATTGTATTGGCCGTGGGTATTGTATGGCTTTGGATAGCACTAGGAGGCATTGCTTCTAGGTCGGAGGCCATCGCTATGAGGTTGGAGGCCATGCATAAAGTGTCTGGGTATTAAATATAGCATCTAAACAACAAAAGAACGTTTACCAAGGGATCGCCAAATCGCTCAAGAAGATTAATGTTCAGCGGGTGTGGAGTGTCCTGCCGACTGCAGCGGATGTTTTCTCTCCCCTGCGGGAAAAGCAGGTTTCAACGACTCAAACTAATTGAATGTCCTGTCCTGTGTATCTTTCTGCAACCAAGAGCTCTGATGCTGAGGATCAAGACCATTGGATTGTCAGCAACATACTGTTTAAGCCTTTTCAAGCTCCCTCACACTGCTTCGCTGTATGCCTCACATCCGTCATGTCATTTGTCGTCCCCTCATCCCTGGCCACCATCCCTCCGCCTGATGAGCATTCCTCCGCCAAAGGCGGCAGCCATGTTAAACATGGCACCCTGCTGGGAAAGGGGTCGGCGCCAGGTACCAACCAAACTGGTTGTGCGTTTGGGAGATATTGGGAGATGTCCCCATCAAATTGCTTGGGTTAATATTCTCACACCAGGTCAATGACGGAGTTGGTCAGATGTAAACAAAAAACATGTTTTAGATTGTTTTAGTGGGTGGGTGGGTGGGTATTCAAAAAGGGAGCCCTGGCCCTGGAAGAAGGAAAATAAACCAGTCTATACCAGTCTAACCATTGGGCGGTACTGGCTCGCCTGTCTGCGTAGTGTCCGGCGCATGAGGGATGCGTCATAGCCACTTAGACCATACTGGCCCTCCTCCGGATGTGGGCTTGCAGGGATTGGTTGTGCCGGATGTCTCCGTCTCCCACCGGAAGTGTAGCGCAGAAGAACGCCCTGCGAGGGTTGAGGAGGTCATCTTCGGTGTGGAGCGGAGGCGTGTCCCCTTCCTGCGACCTGTCCGCTAACTGCCTCATCCTATGGATGGAGTTAGCGGACAGGTCGCTGAAGAATGACAAGAGTATGACTCCCTAGGGATCCAAGTACCTTCTCAGAAGGTGATTGGAGACACCGTTATGTAGGTTTGGAGGGTCCAGGGTCCAGTCGTACCTTCTGACAAGGTACGACTGGATCCCTAGGGACTAACTCCATCATTTCTGTGTCCGCTAAAATGTTTCAAACATCGATTTTTCGGTCTGATGTCCAACAGATCGGAAGGATTCGGGCATCCGAATCAACGAAGGATATGGACATGAAACTGGAATATGAAGCGGAGCGATCGGAGCAATCGGACGCGCACCGAACGGAGCAAGCATCCAGGGCATCGCGAACCGAACGGAGCGATCGGACGACGCGCACCGAACGGGGCATGAAGCTGGATCGAATCGATTCACGACGTCACGATGAAACGCGACCATCCCCAAACATAGAATCCCTGTGGATTCAGAGCTCCTCAGTGCATATGTCGAGAAATGTCTGGAGCCGGACCCTCAGTTGGCTCAGTCTTTTCAGTTTCGACCCTCCAGTTCCACACTCCAGCTGACCTTCACCGCTTGAAGACCCAACGACCGCCCACCTGCCGGTCCCGCCTCCGGCCCGCCGGTCCGCTGCCGGAAAGAGCAATGGGGTCAAGACGGATGGAGCGACTGGAAGGACTTGGAGGACATTGGTCTTCGATCCATCTTCACTCGGACAGGTCTTGATGTGACAAACCAACAACTGGTTTAACGTCCAAACACCCTGAAAGGTCCTGCCATGGTCCAGGAAGGCTGTCATGAAAAAAAATACCGTTCAGACCTGAAACTTTTCCGGGTGACACCGGTGCAAACAAAAAACATCGTGTGGTCATTAACCTTGAAAGGTGAGAAAGATGGAAGTGACCGCCAGGTCAGATGCCTCAGCTGTTCATCTTGGGGACCTCATCTCGCCTTGAGCCATGAGCCATCGGCACGGCGGCACGGCGCTGAAGCTGCGTGGGAATGCGGCGCTTGCAGGTGAGCGATTTGGGCCGAGGTCAACGGCCTGAACCAATGCTCAAAGCCTCATGGAGCCTCCAACTGCATGTTTCAGGGCGTAGCATGGTCCGCCTTTTTTTCTGTCTTTGTGAAGATTCAGCTGGCCTCGCATGTATACAGGGATGTGTGCCTGTTCAATGTGTTTGTCCTCCCATCAGGGGGCCGGGAGGGCACACTGAGCATCAGGAACCATCGTCCCAGTGATACGCAGAAATCGCTCTTGGGATCCGTGATACGCTCGTGGCGAAGAACACTCCAAAGCTCCCAACAACCTTGAGGCAACTGGTGAGATGGACTTGGATTTCTGCAGATTCGGAACTATGACATGGATCGTCTATGTTGTAATTGATGACCCTCAAAAAGAGGGCTTTCGGGGCTTCCCGACAGGATTCTCAAGGTTTGAAGGCGGGGGAGGGGTTTGTCCATCTACCACGTATGGAGCATCGTCTTCATGAGTGGAGCATCGTCTTCATGAGTGGAGCATCGCCTTCATGAGTGTATACATGTGTATACAGTATAGAATGATGCTGTTCCCACAGAAGTGGTCTGGCATCGGCGGAATTTTGTTGACACGGGCCGAAGGTGATTAAGTAAAGGGGGGGGGCGTTTCGCCCTCTACAAAAAAGACAGCACCACGGGGTAAATGTCAGGAATTCGGGGAGGGTAGCACACCACTCACACGTCCACTTCCACTGGAATAACATGACAATGCTGTGCATTGAAATATACTCCGTATATACTTAGTGCCACAGCTTCCAACAGTGATTGACAACTTCAGGGAGAGGCGTTGCCCTTCTTTACTTAAACGAAGGACTGGCTGAAGAAACAACAAATCCCAGTGTATGTGGAACTCCCATCGCTTTTGAGGACCTCCCATCGCTCAAGAAACTCTCTTGTGGTGCTCGTGCCTATCACCGCAAACAAAAATAAACACGCACCAAAAACACACCATGATAATGCCATGTATATGGCATATTTGCATACATTGACCCCTGACCCCCCCAATGTAGGTATAAGTAAGTCAAAGCATGTCAGTCCCCCCTGGAGTTTTCCGGTGCTCTACAGCCGCCACGGCGATCGAAACGGCGGAAGACGAAGCCGCCTTCCGGCGGTCCACGGCCACGAAACACCTTGGAGATCGACGGACGGACTGGAGGCAGGAAAAATGTGACTGGGAGGGGGTTGAAATACAGGAGAAGTGGTTGAGTTCTGAAAAAGTCATGGTGAAGGGTGATAGAATTCGAGGTGAAACGAACCAGTCTCATGCAAGGCATCAGTCGGTTTGTATTTCGCAAGGCGGTCCGTCCGAGGCCTCTCGGAGCAAGCTGGAGGGCAAGTTTCTGAGCACAACTTGCCTCATGTTGAACACAACATGCCTCTACAAGAGTCCAGAAAGCACACTGGTGCCCACTTGGGGAACGCACGAGGTCACAAAGGTTGTACAACTTGGGTTTACACAGGAATTCGATACTTAGAAGTGCAAATTCTGCACACAACAAAACATCACACATCCATAAAATCCCTTTTCCATCCTTTTCCATCAGTCCTCCCCGAGCTCTTCCACACTTGATCTACCCGCGAAGCTTCAACACATCTCTTGACTCTTCACGAAAGCTGGACCAGCTGTCTCCCGCGAAGACCTAGACTGGGTCGGTCTAGACTCTGGAAATCCCTTGCAAACCATGGTCACATATGGTCACCGTGTCGCATGACTTGCACCCGATCTTTTACTTCTTGATAGGAAAATCCCAATTAATCTGTACACTCCCAATATGATCTATCCCAAAAACACCGAGACAATCGGTCTTGACTTGCAAAAATGAACCCTTCGTTCGGGGACAGCAAACACAATGAAACCCACTGTATCCTTTGAACCCCATCAGCTTTGCTTCAAGACCCAGCACAACACGCGCCCGTCTCGCCATGCCGACCGTTCGGTCGACCGGGGTCTCCGGGGAGACCCGGGCGAGCGATCCACGCGCGCCACCTTCAACAAGCTGGGCCGCCTCGGTGGCTGCGGTGCTCCGGTCCAGCTTCCGGATCCCGTTCCGGTCAAGTACGTTGGGAGGACGGAGACGGAGTTCCGGTGATCCAATTGAGGAATACTAGATGGAAATTGTCATATAGTTAATGAACAATCATGTGCAAGGCGGCTATTCTATAGATGCATGGGACAATGTCTGGATGGACTACTCTGGTGCGTGGGTGCGCGAATCTCACTCGACTCCTCAAACATCGAAAGTCAACGCGGTGAACTCACTTCCTGCATCCTGGAAGACCCCCATGGAACCTGAAAACCACACCTGGTGTGCAGAGGATGGTCAATGGTCTTGCAATGGTCAATGTTCAGGTCCATATTAATCTTCCCGGGTGTAACCGTATCTTATTCAGTGCAAGCAATGGCAACCTCATCCCATGCTGGTGATGAACACATATATCATTATAAGGCAGTTGACCCCAAAAATCTGTTGAGGATGAATGGCGACATGGTCAAAACATGTCAAAACATGATCAATATATGCTAAAACCATCTAAAACCATACACCACTGGCACTGCCACTTCACTAAACATCTGTTTGGTTTGACTATTTAGATGTGTTTGTGGTCTTCTTACTTGCGCATGACAGCGCAAGTTGAGTGCAGTTGAATAGCCCCCCCCTGTCCTGTAGCCTCCAACGAAGGCCAGCCCGGCCTACCCTGCTTCACCACGGTCTTTCACCGAAGGCTCCCGCTTCCGCTGCCGGGCTCGGAACGCTCCGGGGCGAAGCACCAAGGCCGTGGCGAATGGACCGGTTCGAGGCCACGCATGGGATACCTCGCGGCATGAGCAAGCTGGGCGGGTGGGTGGACATGAGCAAGCTGCAAGCAAACAGCAGGCGAGGCGGTGATGCCAGGAAAGACATCTAAGGGATTTGACCTGGTGATCATTAGAAGATCTAGGAACATTGGATCGGAAGGAATGGATCTTTGATCTTTGTCTTGCAGGGTGGATCATTGATCGGATCATGTTATCAGAAGAGGTCTTTTACATCTTCAGATATCTTCAGCATCCAACCAAGCTCCCCCCAGGCCACCACACACATAGAAGCAGGACCTGAGCCAGACTATGGATGTCATGGAGTATTGACCAAGGGGTCAGGGCCTGTCAGGGTTGCGTGTTTTGAGCGAAGCCAGGTGGTTCTGAACCTGAGTCATCAACAGAAAAGTTTATATGAGATGTGGTACTTCGTTTCGACTGCTGGGGAACAGTCGAAAATACACCAGGATGAGTGACAAAGAAATCGTCACCTCTCTGGTGACACCATCATGACACCATGGACAATTGGGATGCATGGAATCATGAATCATGGAACCTGTTTATACATGTAAAGCCCCTAGCTAAGCCATGTGGGGCGTCCAGGGTGCATGGTGCAAATACATCCAGTGTGGTCGCCTGCCAGGCGTGTGATCTGTCCATCCCGCTGCTTTATTGCTGAGTCTACTTCTGTGGAGACCCCTGTTGGTCCGTCCCCGACTCTGAAGGAACCCCGCCAGCTACTTTGGTTCTCTCGAGGGAATCCATCGACCCAAAGCAAAAAGGGGTTCACTATGAGGAAGAAGTGAAGCATATATGCTTCACTTCCTCCGAAAATCCTCCGAATCCGACAGATGAGACTCTGCCTCATATTTGATGGGTCGCTCAAGCTATGTTGATGAAGTCTTGGAACTTCCCATGCAGGTCTTGGAACTCTTGATTCATAAAGCCCTCCCATTTGGATTGCAACACCTCGATCTTCAATGATCTTCATATGAATGGGGTGGGATTTCTTCATCAATGAGTCCACAATATGCAAGCAACCGGGGTCCCTGAGGTGTTCCATGGGTCTTCCAGGTCGGGCTGGTCTTCCATGGTCGAAAGGGGCGTCCGGGCGTCTTCGGTTCCCCGGCCCATGCACCGTGTCGTTGGGCGTCTCCAGGAGCAGCGGCAAGTGCTTTCGGGACTCGGTCGACCGCACCAAACGAAGGAGCGACCGGAGGGCGGAGGATTCCTGAAATCGATGGCTCAATCGCAGTCCGCCCACACCTGGCAGTGCAGTTCTTTTTCAGCATTGTTGGGATAGTACTGCTAAAAACGTCACCCAAGCGTTGGCTACTAGTTATTATATAAAACAATTGCTGGGGGTCTTGGACTGGCAGGGGGGACCCCAAAACCTCCTCCCAAAAAAACAAGGAAGCAAAGGAACAGTGCCAAAAAGGCGCATTGCCCCGACTGCCCACTCTCAAAAAAGCATCAATATTGGACATGTTGCGAAGCAAACATGTCTTGCGATGCATATTCTTTGGCTGGAGGTCGGCTCATCCTTCTCAGCAAACCCGTGTATCTCGCAGTGCCAAGGCTGGCCAGGTCCAGGTCGCCCCTCCCAGACGCGGTCTCACAGCCGAGAGTGGCCATCCGGAACCAGGTGGGGTGTCGGGTTCCCCGACTCGACTGGTTGGGACAGGTAACATACAATCCACGACTGGTTGAACGTAAATATGCCAGTCCCATGGAGTGTCTGGGGTTTCTTACTTGCAACCTGTGGGGAATATGTTGGAGTTTTTAACTTGTAACTGTCATTTCCTCATAGGCATAGGGTTGTTCTACTTCCACCCGCTAGATCTGCCGGCTTCCTCTCTCCGCCGCGCAGCCATCAACGTACCGAAGCCATCATGGATCCGGAAGAAGGCAGCAATACCTGTGGGCAAGGTGCCATGCCCAGCTAGCCCTAGGTATGCTGCAAATCAATGTTTGCAGGTGAATCACAACATAGGCAAACAGGAAGAAAGCCGGAGCAGGCAGTCCCTACACAGACAGGATGGAATCTGAACGAAGCCTCCATTGTACTGCAAATGCATCAAAAGCGACAAACCTTTGAGCGCGTCGATTCATGTATGGGTCATTTATACATACAATCTTAACATATATGACTCCTTGTGCACTTACGAGGCAAACAATGATTTGATTACAACAGAAAAAACTGTGAATGTAAATCCACACAAACTGAGATAACTAACCCAATGGTAAAGAAACCATTGAAAACAAAAACCATTTATGATTGAACCCAAGCAAGTGGATTTGGATGAGAAAATTGGGTTAATGGTATATAGTTATATTGGGGTTGGTTTTGTGGAAGCATGTTTTCTCATTGTGAAATGTTTGGAACTCTTATGTTTTCTCGGAGGTTAACAGGGGCATGGTGAATATGTGCAGACCACTCCTTGAAATGACGTCTACACTGAAGGCAAAACAAATGATGACCTGCCAAATTTGTTGTTTTTCTGCAACTAATCCAAGCTTTTCGCCAGTGCAGGGTGAAGAAATATGCTTTCATGCACGGGCAATCATGCGGTCTTTTTCAAGCTGCTATGCAACTACAGTACTCACCAAACCCCTACCCTATGTCGCCACATCTGGCCCGAACGCTCATGTCTGTCTTCTCTCCATGCCCTGCGGGCACAGGGCAACGGATTCTCCTCGTGTTCCTCAGCCAATGGTGTGCTGTGCTTACTAAGCAAAGATGATCATTCCAAAGCTGCACCTTCCTGCAGTAATTCTGATCCCTAGGGCTCCAGTCGTACCTCCAAACCGGTTCGCTATGACTGGACCCAAACATGGCACCCACCTAGTCCCATCTGAGCTCCCGTGCGGAGACGGGCATCGGGCTGGTGGCCTGGTTCCCCGAAAAGGAACAAATCCGGTTGAGAAGCAACATATCAAGCGCTTCCAAGAGAGGTTGAACAGCCCTTTCTTGCCCATCCCATATGTACCACTACAGGGTCCTATATGGTCCCTCAACATATCATGTGCTTGTTAAAAATAAAAAAAAATAAAAACTATGGCCCGCACCAATAGGCACCGCCTATAAGGCACCTGTGCCCCCCTTTTTTGCGTGCACGGATTCTCTTTCTGCTTGCCTCCCTAAAAGATCAAAACAGTGTCCACGATTAAGGACCTCCCCTAGTTGTTTGGTCGAAACCTGTTCCTGCAATCATAACCACCGTATACTAAAGGCCTTCTAGTACTCTTCCGGCGCAGAAGTGGGTACACTCAACTGACCCTTGGTCCACCTTTCCTCGGAACCAAGCAGAACCAAGGTCCTGTGCTGCAGAACCAACCACCATGCTTTGCTTTTTTCACACCCCTTCCTTTTCAATTGTTCGATCATCTTTCTGATTCTGATGAACTACGGCGATAGGCCTATTAATCAACGATGTCCAATTCAATTCCCGTTTCTTGTCCTAGCTCACTTCTCAAGATCCCTTTTATTCATGCTGGACCATTTACACAGCAGCCAAATTGGTGGATATGTGCAGCGACTGCCCAGATGTATTCTTGATGTTCATCACCCACGCTGGCATCCTGCTTCTCAACCAACTTATTCCTCTCAGCTTTGCCCAGCTCAGCTCATTCTCCACATTCACCTCGTTCTCCACATGCTTGCTGTTGAAATGGCAGGCCATGGTATCCCAGCTCATATTCACTAACCTCCAAGTCGTTCCAATCAAAGATCACACTATGTAGTACCACACATGACATAGCCTCCATTCCCATCATGAGCTTCTCAAGTGGCATGCCACAGTTTAGTCATGGCTCCTCGGAAAGATATGAAATTTAGTCTCTACTATCTCTTTTCAGGGAAAGATTTAGTCTTTTGAATTCTTCTCCTGATGAGATTTATCCTTCAGGAGTCTTTGGGATCTTTCCCATGAAACGATTCAGTTCACTTTTGTGTTGGGCTGTCTCCTCATGAAGAGGTTGTAGTCTTGGGTTCCGTGAAGAGACGCTCTCTTTGTTGGCACTCCTTCTCATGAAAATATTTAGTCTTGGGGATCTCCTCACAAAAATTTTTACCCACCAAATTGTGACCCCCCCAAACAGCAGACCTTCTACAGGGTCTGTCGAGATGACTTGGGAGTCTGGCAAGACAAGGGGACTTCGCCTCCCGAAATAGCGACCTTCGCAGCTGGGCGACGCGACGCCCGCCTGCCCACGCCTTTTGCGCAAGCCAACCACTTCCTCCTCCAGCTCCAAGCCAACCTATGGGGAGACTTCCGGGAAAACGAGCCAAGTGCCACGCCACTTGTAGCCGTCCCAGACGTCGTTGGTACTTAAAACTGAAAACATCTTAAAACAAAGGGCCAGGGCTTGTGCTCTCCACAAAAATATTGTCAAGCGCTGGCCAAAGGCACCAGCAGGGGCCACTAGCAGAGTCGACCAGCAGTTTTTGGCCACACCAAAACCTCCAAAGAAAACCATATGTTTCTTTGGCGTAGACTCTACTCTTTGCCACGTGGTCCGACTCCAGACTCTGCAACTGACACCAACATGAAAAGAGAGAGAGAGAGGGGGAGGGAGAGCCACCTGAACCCATGTGTCTTACAGCACCTTTAACATCCATGAACAAATCTGATTCTCATCATCTGTTTCTCCTCCGTCGTTCCAGAATGACACGAGGTGAAGTATGGTGATGTGATGCAACACGGAAACCCCAAACGATATATCCAAATACATATTTTAATAATATAATGGATCCACATAGCTTCTCAGAAGGCAATTGGACCCGACAATGGCGCCTACATCAATAGTCTCCAATCACCTTCTCAGAAGGTATGTGGATCCATAGGGTGTATATACAGTATATAATATATAGTTACGTATAAATATATGTATATATATATATACCAGGTGCATCCGACTCCTGTCCATTAGACGCCCGCTCAAAACCCTTGGACATCCATCACCTTCGGCCACGTGCTTCGGCCACGGACTCGCTCTCGTCGCGAGTCGCTAGTCCCAACAGGCCGTTCGAAAGAGGCCGTTGGATTGAACAAAGACCCGTTCAGTATATAAGACATAGAAAGACATGCACCCACACGGTCCAACAAAAGCAAGTCACTTTTGTTTGTTTCTGGTTGATGTCTTATAGCTTTACCTCGAAACAGACTCACGTGTATTGTTGACAGCCTTCTTGGATGTCACAGATCGACGCATCCGCCGTCGGACCAAATCTGGTCCGTGCTCCAAGCAGATGAAGTCTATTGCTCCAACGACGGAGGAATGGGCGGACAGTTTGTTTGACGGTTTGTACTTCACACCGAGTGTGTAGCAATCCCCTATACTATATGACAAACAACCAGTGGCTTTACAGTTTATTTGCATCTTTGTCAAATAAGTGAAGTCGATACTGGTCCGAATGAGGATAGAACTTCACATTCTGTGAACATGAAGATGTGACTCAAGCAAATGTAAATCGACCATTGGCGGGCATCTTTGACTTTCAAGTAGCCGCTTTCCAAGTGGATTTGTTCAGGCCTGCTATCTCCTACAAACATATTGAAACAGCGGCTTGATTGAACACCCCCAAAAGCTCTCTCTACCCAAGAAACAATCCCAATCTACCTCTCCCTCTTCTCTCCCCCGCTTCACTTCACTCCTCCACGTCCTGGCACCGGAAAAAACTCACCGGGCTCCCGACCGACTGTTCCGAGGGCGCGCCGCCAAAGAGCTCGGCGCCACTCGTGAGGGTGTAGAGGATGCAGAAGTGCGTCTGGCGCGGCGGTCTTCGCGGCGCCAAAGGCTCGGGAGAGCGGAGAGTTCGGCTCTGAGAGCGGAGAGCGGAGAGTTCGGTGCGCCGGGTTCGTGAGTGGAGGGTTCCTGGGGTTCTTGGGTGTTCAGGCGCGTTTTTCTGAGGGGGTGCCAGATGGGGATCACCCTGGCTGGGTGGGGCGTACGGCCATGAGACGTGCTGCAAAAATGGGTGGAGTGACAGAGTTTCTGCAGTGGGGTTGTGCACAGAAGTATACCTATACTATATAGTGGGCACATGTGGGCATGGTCATGTTCTTGGTTGCGACTGTGAACTCAAGCACTTAGGAGTTAATCTCAGCTTCTCAGCCGCAGTGGCTGGTAACATGGCAGTGCTGCTGCAAATTGGAACAAGAAAGGAATCAGTTGAGATCCTGATCCCAATATCTTCTCATAGGCCTAAATCAGATCCTGCGCAGCGGCGCCCGGGGTGAACCTTCGCTTTCCTCTCTTCGGATGGATGAAACCCCCTTTCATCGGAATAGACTGGCCATCGATCCAGAACAACCGCCTCCGCATTGCACCGACAGAGGCGGGAACAAACCCGCGGACCGACCGTCCCACCGGAGACCCGAAACGACACCGGGGTCGCGACCGGGCAGGTTGAGGGAAGGGGGGTGGAGGGCCTGCTTCCCGGCAGCACACTTCACCATCGCGACATGGATCTCACGGACCTCGGGGAGTCAGTAGGTCGGTGAAGTGATCGGTGAAGGCCAAGCTGCGAAAGGAAGTGGGTTCGGTTTCTACCCATGGGACCGCCATGATGCCGCCCCAGACAGAGACCCCAAAACAACACCAACTGATCGGAGTATATGGCAGTCCCATGTGTTGTGTCTGGGTTATGGGCGCGTCTTTTAATAGGGAGATTCTTTGGCCCCATGGGTAGACTGGTCTATTTCCCTTCTTCCAAGGGGTCGAACTGGGGGGGCTCCCGATTCTAGTAGGCCAAAAAAAAGAGCTTTGGTGATGAAAGGACATCCTGAACATGTCATCTAGCCAGATGATTGGTCCGGTGTGTTGTTTGTCTTGTAGCCATCAATGTGGTCTAGTATCCACCACCGTCCACTACTGGCGCTCCCATGGAGGCTTCGAAGGCTCAATGCAGCCAGGAGGAAGAGCCATGGAGAGCCCCAACGCTTTGCTGCTTTTGGTATGTGTTGGTGACTTTCCTCTCCAAACCGGTCAAAAAGGGAACCTCGAAAAACCTCTGACCACCTTCTCAGTTGACCCGGAGGAGGAAGATTTCAGCTTCAAACATCTTCCAACCCACTGAACGGATCCGCCGGATCGATCCTCCCAGATCCGATCGATCCTCGACTCGACCGGAATTCCGGCGTGGGGCCGAACGGCGAAGCCGAAGATCTTTGGGGGCCCATTTCTTCAACAAGAAGATAGGAAGATCCAGAAGAGCCATATGGGGCCGCATTTCTTCAATCATGGTATCCATTTATAGAGCCCAGCTCCTTGAGATCCACCCAAAAGCTCATTCCTCTCACCACATCGGCCCCTGTTCAGCTCACTCGGTGTCCCGGGCAGATTGCGAAAGGGCTGAATAGCCCACACTGAGGTCTTTGGGCACCGGGTTCTTCCAAATACCTCAATCCGGATGCATCTAAAACACCATCGACCACCACTCTTTTTACGAGTGCAAAGAGGGCAGGAAGGACGTCCGGACAAATGAGGAGTCACATGGGCCAACTCCGGAACATCTGTTGGATCAATAGAGGCTTACAGCAACTAGAGCATCTATGTGTGCATCGTATAATATATTATTTATACATACCTGGACCATCCAAGGGGTGCCCTGTCTGGAAGCCTATAATTAGGTAGTTTGGGGTAGTCCAGCCAGGACACCCCGACAGGATGGTCCACAGTTTTCTGTTGTTGTTTTATCCAATCTTTCTTACAAGTACCACACAACAGATCCGTTGGGTCAGGGAACATCGCACATGCTTAGCCGGTCGCACTCGACGCCCGGTCAGCCGGTCAGCGCACACTTCAGGACCTCTTCGATGCTCGTGCAGCCCTCGAAGTTCCAAGGGCACAGGGAGAAGGCAGCATTGGCCTGAGGTCGTTCCGAGCGCCAAACAAAAACATCACGTGCAACCGTATATAGAGTATATATAGACATATAGACAAATCTCCTGACTGCAAATGAAAAAGTAAAAACCCTCTTAAAGAATCTTAAAGACATCCTGAATTCTCGTTTCGTTCCCTCTTCGTTTCGCCTCGCACAAAGCGCTTCCCAAAACGTATGCAACAAAGCCAGCCTGCGCCTCGGTTCGTCCCCCCCTGCGCGAACGGAAGGGACGAAGCACGCCTCCTTCCAGTCAACGATGTCCAGACTGGGCACCCAGGGCTCCTTTTGGCCGAACGGTTCCGCATCGCGTTTGGCCTTTTGGACCAACCTCTCTCGGCAGGAAGAGGACACTTTCTATGTGGTAAACTGCTATACTGCTCAAGCATTGATTCCAAGGCGCCTTGGCCCCTGAAGCCACAGAGATGGACATGGAAGAACACAAGAAGACCTCTCTGGTGTGCAGCAAATGGTGCTTGCCTCGTTCAGCGGCAAATTCTCCTGATCCTCCTCCTCCTGGCAGGGGCCAGGAGATGGTGTTTGGATGGAAGGAGTTAAGGTCACAAGCCAATTGGTCAAATCCAAGCATCGCAGGTCCATTTTGTGCGTTGTCCCCCAGTTGTGCTCCGAGATGTCCAGCAAACAAAGATTAGGATCTTCTGAACGTATAATGTTCATATATGTGAGAGGTTATATCTCGAGGGTATATAGTACTATATATCAACCACAGTGCTGGCGGACTCCAGACAACCCTATCACCAATATCATCCATATCAACGGCCAGAACGGATTCCATACAAGAACGTACAGGTTATGTAATGTTATCATGCATCACAATGACATCCTTCAGAGGCATTGCCTACTGTACAAAAACCTACTTCCAGAAAACTGGACTTCCATCCGTCCATCCATCCATCCATCCATCCATCCATGGAATTGGTCAAATGAGCAAACACATCTGCATGCTGGAAGTGCAACACTCCCGCAGTTTGGGGGTGGCTGAGCCCAGATCAACATGACGTCCTTCATGTTTATCCCCCGGTGTTCGTCCCTATCAACCAATGAAACTTACAGAGGTGATCAATGAATAATTACCTCGCATGCTGGCACCATGCGTCTGGTTTCAGGGTGACAACCTGGATGTCTGATTCTGTTGACTCACAGGCAGCTTGCTGCAGGTGCCTCGAGCTTGTACTTCCTCTTGTTGCTGTTCCCGAAAACCACCTCGGACGACCATACCAACGACCACTTGCGCGGATGTTGGAGTAAGACTTACGCCATGTCTTCAAGCACCGTAGCAAGCAAGCAGTTGTCCTGTAGAACTGACTGGCGGACACGACGAAGCAACCCAACTTGAGCGGCTAGCCAATCGAATGAAGCTCCAAAGATCTCAGGCCATTGCCAAGATTGGGAAAATACTAGCACCTTGAAAGGGGGTACACCAATGGCAGCCCCTACACGACTTAAGGATCTCCATTCAATGCCCATTGGATGGTCCAGGAGTGTTTTTCCCATAAGAATTCCCTGACTGGTTATGGCTGCAGACGACCTCCATGCCCTGCCCTAAAGCTCAAACAACTTGCCACTCCGATCGTGTCCACGGTGTCCTTCGTTTTGCTCGGGTCGAAAACGATTTGACTCACTAACCCAGACACTCCATGTATGCCGATCAGTTGGGGTGGTTGACTGGGGGAATACTGGGGGTCAATGGGGCGGCAGTCCTATGGCAGTCCCAGACAGGTCGTGTCTGGGTAATAAGTGATCAAGCTGGACCGGCCGTTTCGGTAATAAGTGATCAAGCTGAGTCCAGACTTCGGCAGGCTTAGCTTGTCATGAGCCAGTTCTTCGACCACGTCAGCTGGGCTTTCCAGCGAAGAAGACGGTCACCAGGAACCCGACAATGGCGGAGGCCACATACCTCATACATGGCGTCAGCTGTGCGGTTGGATGGGAGGATCAGCAAGCATCAACTTCGCCAAGAAACATCAAGAAACACAGTAGACTCAGTAGACAATCTGTAGGACAATGTATTTGACAAATTCTACCTTGGGTCATACATGATTTCAGCCTATTTCAGCCATCCAGTAGTTCGGTTCAGCTCCAGCTCCAGTGGTTCTTCGGATCGTTTCTGAGTGCTGTGGATCGAATTTCTGGGTCCAAGCGATGCAGTCCGAAAGGACATCATTCCTGGACCCTCCAAAGTCATGTAGACTCTTGATGAGTAACCCCCATATGAGGTGTTTCAATTCAAGTGGGTCAGTGGGCTCGGTTTAGTCATCAAGAGTCTACGTCACCTTGGAACATGGGACATGACCCGAACAAAAAGCAGGGTATGTGACCCATGTTCTGAAGTACGAACGCGTCAACGTCCGAGGTACGTGGATCTCTTCGGATGTTCCTGACATGACCCTCTTCTGCGGAAGTGCTTGGTGGACGTGGCATGGCATTTGGGAGCAACGTTTGGCCAGTCCACTTCCATGTTTGCTTGGAGGGAGGGGGGCCGCACCGGTTTGCTCCTTCCTTCCCATGAGATATTTTCGCACCCCTAGGATGTGTGAAAATCCTCCGCAACAGCTACAAGAGCCTGTGCCCTTAGTAGCTGCCTGGATGAGATCTTGCCACCAGCGTAGAGCTGCCGGTGCGCAGGAGTCAATGAGAGCGTGACATGCCCCTCCCGACCAGCGAACTGGCAATTCCCAGGTCCCTGGCACGAACATCAGCACCTGGCGTCATCGCAGCCCCAATGAGGTGGCCCCAGTTTGATCACAAGGTAGTGGCTTGTTTCCCCTGCAATCCAGGAAGAAGTCGGTAATATCCATTTCCCAAATATCGGGGGCTCATCTATCCCAGACACTCCATGGGACTGCCATAGGACTGCCATAGGACTGCCGATCAGTTGGGGTGGTTGACTGGGGGTCAATGGGGCGGCATATATGGCAGTCCCAAACAGGTCGTGTCTGGGTATCTTCTTCACCACCACTTTCACCACACATCGGTCGATGGATTCGCCATTGGTCGATTGAACTTCTCCCGCGGTACGTATAGGTGTTCTCAGAGCACGTAGTACATGGCATGTCTATATATGCAGGTCCCATGTAAAGCATTCTTTGGGGATTGTGCCATCTGCTTTGAAATCCACATATATCAGGAGTAAAGGTGGGGAAGCTGAACCGCTACCCTACCAGTCGTCAGTGGAACCCCGTGCGGTTTCCCCGCTGGGCCACTCAACTCCAAATCGTCTGTGGGGCCGCAACCGCAAAGACGGATGACCCTTTCCAAGGGTTTAGGACCATCCGTTGCTCGGATGTCCTGTGGCCCCCAAGAAACGACCATTCTGTACTTTCACCTCCAAGAGCATCCCAAAAGGAGGTACCTGGACGTACCTGGGCCTGAGAGAACCCACACTTCTGTGAATGCTGGATGCAGTTTTGACACTCAGAAGGTGCAACCTGTATGGTCACAACATCGATGGATTTGGCCAAGAGAAATGAGACTCTTGTCCAAAGAATATGTTATTGCGTTCAAGATGTTACGTCAGATTCTATAATTAAATTCTATCAACGATCGATGTCATTATCTAGTTCCCGAAGTGAAGCCTTATCAGGTTCGCCTGGGGACAAAATTACAATATCACATATCACCCTATACATATCCTTGCAACCGATCGAGAGGTGAAAACAACAAATACAAAGCAATCCAGATACTTTGACCACTGAAGCTTTGCCTCAAGAAGTGGCACGAGGAATTTTCACAGTCTCGGGTGTTTTTTCTGCAGATCTTCGCTTTCACTTCCGCATGGATGCGCAAATGGGCCGCAACACGCCTCTTCAGGCGGTCCTCACGCGACGAAGAGACCCATGGCGATGGACATGGAGACAGAATCCCAGAAGGGCAACCTGCGAGTTTTGCTCTCGTGCTACAACATATTGAAAAAACAACACGTTGAACTCGCCGTGTTGTATGCTTGTTGTATTGCATACGTTCATTCAGTCAAAATTGTTGTGATCCTAAAATCGAGAGAAGAATTGATATTGCCTCTGGGGTTGAATGATTGCACGCGTAATCTGTGTAACTTCAGTTGTCAGATGTCTGTGCCGACAGACATGCCAGGGACAACTGGATCTGGGGTTTTGAGAAAACAAAACAATGACAAGTCTGAGATCTCGGGGTGTGGTGTGCAACCGCTGCGAGTGGCACGCTTCGTGTTGAGGACATCTGGACGATGTCGCCAATTCAGAACTTCATTCTACCCTCCAGGAAAACAAAGGAACATAGTTGTAATAAAGGAACTGTAAAATTACCAAAATGGCAAGCTTTCTCAAACTGCTTCCAGCTCAGCTTTGACATATTGTGCTGCCTGTACCCATGTGGTAAATTAGAAGCAAGCCTTTAGGCTTCCCCGTGGTGGCACCGTCATGTCTGCATTTGTTGAACCGTTCATGTTGCGAATTCCTTTTGAGCCACGACATGAGAAACAAACAGCCACGACACTTCAACACTTCAAGCAAAAACATGCGAAGTGTTGAATTAAGGTTCGTTAACCAAAATCCAACCATCACTACCAGCATTTTGGCAGGCTCATTCTTCACTTCGAATTCAGTACCTGGTCGCATTCCCTCACCGGATGAAAAAAAAACCTTCGCCGAGAAGAGCAGAATGGAACTCACTCACCGAGCCAATGTTCATTGGACATGATCAACCCATGGGTCTGAAACATGTCTTCACCCTTCGTCTGAAACCGCTTTGGCAGAGTCGCGCGCGCTTCCAAGGCCATGTGTCGCTCGCGCCCCGGTTCGGCGTTTCGGTCGTCAGCTTCGTGCGACTCTTCCACCGGCCGAAGGACGCGAGGACCGGTTGTTCTGTGTGCCACAAAGGTGGTAGAAAGACAGCAAACGACATGACATGACCAAACAATCTTCCTTCTGCTCCCAGTTTGCATGTGGTGAGTTCGGCATGAATCGCTCATTCCACTTGAAAAGAACCATATATTATATAGAAGTTGAGCGTTCGTCATCGCTACGTTGGTCCTTTCAACACTCCTCAACCCCCCCGCGACCCAGCTCTTGTTTGGGCTGGAGCGGACAGGGCAGCAATTGCGTCCGCAGTGATCATGAGCCTAAGCAGCCAGGTGCAGCACCAAGCTGAGTTGGGCTTGGGGTTTGGCTTGGGGTTTAGGGTTTAGAGTTTAGGGTGTTTGCCTTGGGGTTTTGGGTTTGGCTTGTTGGTCATTCTCTCTGAAAAATGATGATCAAGTACAGCTCATCAGCTCAATGTCAAGCGGAGTCTCACACACGAATGGAGTCAGCTTCTCCCGGACAGGTGCTTCAAAATGACCAATCTTGGAAGGTTCTGGTCTCCAAGTTCAAGGATTCTCAAGTTCCTGATCCAAACCTTTGATCAAACCTGTTCCTTCATGTGTCCTCTGACTCCGGGTCCCTTCGAGTCCCTGGGGAGGGTCCAAGGGGACCAACGTAAAACGAAACAACCCAAACAGATGGATCCATGTCCGATGGTTTGTTCTCCAATCTGTCCGGTCCGATCAGATGTCAAGCATTTGAAATGGTAGGTATCACTCCCGAACACTCCCATGGAACTTGCATATTTACATATGTTCTTCCAATTGAGTTATTTTGAAGGGGTCCATGTAGGTATACATCATGCATCTTTCGGGACTTGGAATTGCTTCAATTCGGACACATTAAATATAACCAAATCCTGTTTGAAAGGCATGGACATTCCTCAATCCATGAGATGGAATGAGATGCTCCCGCCTGCTCGGCACTCCAAAGACCGCAAGTAATTAATATGTGTTCATAATCCTCGAGGTTTACAGGTTAAAGAAAACATACAAGGCCTCTGCAGAAACTTGGTCCAAGGAACCTGCCAGCATTGCCTTCCACCAACCTCGGCCAAAACAGCACCAGCCTCCGAGATGCTTGGCCCTTGGAATGACGTTCAAGAGCTCATGAGGTGTATTTAATCCGACTTCAAGATCTTCGCATGATGTCATGTCAGTTCTACTAAATATATGTCTAGAAATATGACTCCCACTATGACTCCAATGGGCGAGCGCCCAGACCGACCAGAAGTCGAGCACAAGGGCCCATCTTGCCAAGCGTCTGCAGCTCGACCGGCAAAGCATCCATCAGCTGCGGCAGCACTGGTGCGGCCGCACTGCCATGGCCACGGCCCACCACCAGGCAGAGCGGCCGACTGAGACGCGTTGGCGGACTGGCGACCAGGGCGGACTCCCTGGTGGAAGTAAACGTGTGTTGTAGCACCATCCGACGGGTGGTCTATATACGACATGAACATGGTCTACGAGGTGTTTCAGATAGTTGGGTCTCGAGGTATATTCTCTTGGAGAACCCTCGATACCAAACTATTTGCAGTGTTCTTTTGGTACTTTTGGTGTCCTTCTCCCCACACCCACATCCAGCACACACTTTCCACATCCTTCCACATGCATCTTCATCTCCAGTGCCGAACCACACACCGCGACGGCTCAAAACGACTTCAGGAAACCGTGGTTGAATGAATTCATGGGCCCTATGGATCCACATCATACCTTCTCGGGTTCGGTCTGTGGGCTCTCCTGGCGCCAAAAACCGTCTCCGTCCTCACCGTACCGGTTCGGTGGCAGTGGATCTATATGCTCTATATAGGGGGGAAGAATCGATTGCGGCATCAGAACCACTGCAAGTCACCTCGGAGTGATCCTCATGCTTTTTGTTCTACGCTTCGATGTGAGTCACTTCGATGTGTCACTTCCGTGTTTTATCGCGCGCTTTCAAGATCTTTCAAGCGTGTTGTAAAAGAAACGTCGTTAATAGAGAGAGAGAGAGACACCAACAATCCAAGCAACAAGTGGAAGCAAGGACATCTTAACATGGCTGCCAAACCCTCACCTGGCAGGTGAAGAGAAAAGGTTAACAACATCAAACAACCTAACAAACGACTTCAATCACTTCAACCCACAACCCCAAAGCACTTCCCACCTCCTTGGCAAAGCTCCTGGTACTGGTGCTACTGCGCGACGCAGCAACGCAAAGGCGCTGATGATGTAGGCCGCTTCGAAGGTGAAACCATGGAGGTCGAGCTCAAACCTCAGAACCATAAAGAAAAACATCGAAAATCGATGGTGAGCCGTGCTTACGATTGATGATGGATATGATATAGAGCTATGATGAAAGAACAGTGGACTTCCTCTGCTGGTGGAACTAGGTAGATCTAGGTAGCGAAAATCAGTGGTAGGCGCACGTGAAACGTAAGGCACAGTTTTGAACCTTGAAAACTTGCGCAGGTCGATCTGAGACTGTAGTGGATCTGGAGGAACAGAAATACTTGATTGATTCCTCCAACTCCAACCTAATAGGAATGGCCTCCAACCTAGTAGCGGCGGCCTCGATATAAGGAATAAACACAAGAACGGAGTTCTCCCAGCTTAAGAACGGGCTCGTCTTTGCCTCAAATGGATTTTCATGGATGTTCCAATGGACGAATTGTATCGGTGTAGAGCTGCGGACAAAGGGACAAAGGGACATGGTCATGGAAGACTGCAAGCTGCAAGTTGCTGCAAGCTGCCCAGCACAGGTTTCTATAGGTTTCTATAATGCGGTTTGATGGTCCCTAAACATCCATCATGAACGGAACCGCCCCCTGGTGTCGCCGGATGCCCAGCCACTCTGAGATCCACGGCTGAACCACACCTTCCTCCTGACGAGTGTAAAAGGGGGGAGCTTCTGTCAAGGATGACTAACATGTGAGTGGGTCATGTCGTAGTGCCCTGTCGTCAAAGCACATGGTGATGGTTGGCTCCACTGATGGTTTGCGATCAAATGCTGTCAACTACCACACAATCATTCAACAGAAAAAGGTTGGGTGGAGAGAAGCGCAACATGTAGGGAGTATACTTTCCTGCATCTTTCTTTCAGGTTCTTGCGAACCTTTTTGCACCAGCCCTATAACAAAATGGTGCCCATACTTGAACTATATATAAGTGTTCCATATTTCACCGTGTATTTTGCGGTGAAGAATCATTGGATGTTTTCTCGTTGAACCGTTGTATGGAACGACCTCTTTCGCCCAGATATGCGCTCACGGAAATGGTCGATCCGCCGGGGATCCAAGGAAATGGCTTCTGCAGCACCCTACCCGTTGACCTGCAACATGTTCCCAGCTGGTGTGGGGAATCCCGCCAAGCTTGAGTGTGTCCTCCAGAGTGGCATAGAGCTGCAAGGCGGCGGCCAACTCCCCCGAACGCATCAGGGTCCCTGGCGAGCCCGCGCTCGCGCGGGAAGAACATCTTGTTGGGGTTAGTGGATCATCGGCCATACAATCTCGACTGACAGGACAGGCAAAATGGACATGTACGGAACTGGGAAAGCACAACAAACTTTGAACAAATACCAAGCAAACCCCATTGATTTGGGGTCTTACTGTCTTACTGTTTGAACAATGCAAATTCAATATAATTCAATTCTTCAACTCGATCACATCGAACTCCCCACACTTCTCCACCATCCAAAGGACTCACGCAGCCCATGTAGAGGGCTCGATCTGCACCATCCAATGACCTTGGCTGGGCTGGGCTGACAGGAAAACGCGTTTTCAAACGGCCTCTCCTGGAAAAAGAATTGGAATGAAGGTATCTCAATGGTTCGGGTAACACATGTGGCAGGAAAGACTTCAAACATGGATTCGGAGCTTGAACTCTTGACTCTTGACAGGACCAACTTCTGCTTCCGAGGGGCTTCGATCAAATATGTGAATAGAACATAACAAAACCACTTAGCATCACTTAGCAATCTACATCAATCCGCTGATGTAAAAAAACATAGTCAGTTTTTGTTTTTTTCCAATTTTAAGGGGATTTCCCACCGACACCTCAAGAGAATCTCTGAAAACCTCAGAGTCTGTGGGAGATTCAAAAAGGAGATACTTTGACCTGGTGAGATCTTCCTGGGTGGATCTTTTGCCCTCTCCTTCTGCCTGGCAGCAGCTGTAGTGCCTTCTGCCATTGGGAGCTCCGTTCCAAAGCCTCCAGCACGGTCAGACGCAGCTGCGCATTGGGCGCTTCCGGCCTCGTCTCTGGGGTCTTTTCGCCTGGACGAAGCGACTCGTTGGGCTGGACAGTGTGGAGAGTGAGAAAACGGATTCCCTAGGGCTCCAAATGCCTTCTGAGAATGTGTTTGAGGTGGGTTTGGAGGGTCCAAACACCTTCTGAGGAGGTACTTGGAGCCCTAGGGATTCTGTTTTGGACATACAAAGGGGGGGACTGAGCTGCTCAGTCCACTAGTCCACTGGCATCCAATCAAATGATTGGTGAGTCAACCAAGCCCGCACATCCTGCGGACAGGCAAATGCCAGCTTCGGGGACCACCCTCTTTTTCGCCACCCACCTGACTCCTTTGATCGATGGCCAAAATCGGTCCAAACGGAATGGGTGACCCAATGTGGATCGTGGAACCTCGCCTGAAAACCTGTGCCCTATGGTTCCAAAGTCGTTTTATTTAAAAGACGTTAGCCTAACATCCTTTGTTTTTTGCTTTTCCCCTATGCTCCCCATTCACGCTGTTCACGCCTCAGGGTCTTTAGTGACTTGAACTAAGTTCCACATACACCCACCACCACCCAGCCACAACTTGCACAATGCACCGCTGTTCTTTACTCCACATTTCGGCGAAACAGGCGTTTCAGAGCACTGCGGTTCAACCTTAGGTGTTTCCCAGCAAGCCAGCATATCTTGATCAATGTGGCATGGCACACCCAAGTTAAACTGCACATGCAGTCAATGTTTTGCCCAGACACATGTTCATTTTGAGCTTCGTATTCCACAACCTGCAAACTCTCTCAATGGAGTAGTGAGTACCCTGGGATATATGAACCTGCCTTAGGCGTCCACACTTCATTATCCAACGGCATCGACGAGAGGGATGCGCTGCAAGATAAGTTCCTTACAGCAAAGGTACAAACACACACACCTGTAGAAATAGAAAACATGCATGCACAGCCCATTCGCTCATGGCAAGGGTCTCTTGACCCATTGCATGGAATCCTCATCAAGGAAACAATGCACGTATCTTGCGTTCGAACCTTGGATGGATGTGTGCAACCCTTCTTAGTCCCCACCCCTCGCACTTTGGAAAAAATCAAGGGTGATGAAAAGACGAGACTGTAGATCGTTTGGCATTCCTGCATAGAAGGCACGGTGCTTCAATGTATATTTCAAGATATGCCATAGAGCCTCACCAAGGCACCAAGTAAATGTGGGGTACGTTGGTGTCTTTTCTTTGCATAATATACGCAGCCATGAAGCGTGAATTTTTGGCTTGACGTGCCACTCTTGTTTGGAAAGCCTGGCATCAAGTCTCATGCGTGCCGCAACACACACATACAGGATTTGCACCTGACGCTCAGCTTTGCCAAAAGAACATGGAGTCGGATGTAGGACATTCCTTCACCATGAATGGCTTCAGCCTCCCCAGGTGTCCTCAGTGTTTCCCTACTATTCGAACAACCATGGTTTTACTAAGGATTTGTGCACTACACCACCAGATCAACCAGTCAACCGTTCTTTTATAATGATCTTTGAAGGGCGAGCACACACTAACATCAAGACAAGAAGCAAAAAGCGACCACATCTCTCCATCACTCCAATCATCCGCGACATGTGCAGCCTTGATGGAAAGGCAGATGCAAAGCATTGAGGAGAGACCGGGTGGAGTCGGTTGCAAGGTGATTGCATTTGAAGTTATATAGTTAGTAATCTGGAGGTTTGGAGACAAGCTGCATAGCCAAAGCTTGGACTGGAAGTCTATTGTCTTTCACAGTGTTTTGAGGGTCTCGAACAGCATCCGCCAAGCAAGCAGTGAGCCAATGCTGCACGACTCTGGCATTGTAGGCTTTGCAGGATAAAGATATGTCCCCATTCGGCTGGTGCAACTTAGCAACAACAAAAACACGAGCAAGGAACAAACGCGAACTGGCACAACTGGTCCCCAGAGCACCAAACCAAGTTTTATTCAGGTTTTGCTTCTTGCATATTAGTGACCTGACGAACCCGAAATCGAGGCTGCGAGCATTGGATCCGCTGCGCTTTGCAAAAGGCTTTGAAATGAACCCACGCTGCAATCATTTGGTTCCGCAGGCTCTCGTGTTCTGGGGTTTGGAAGTAGCCAATGTTCAAAAGCGTTTTCCTCAGCTTACAACAAAGCAGCATCAAAATCATTCGGACAATTCTCCAGACTGCAAGCTGCAGTAAAAGCAATTAGTGCAATTAACTTGACTTGCTGAACAGTGTTAAACTGGGCCAGTTTCAAGGATCCGCCATTGATGGTCATCAACAGTCCAAGATGAAGAACATGCATCAAGCACCACCGAACAATGCTTGGATGCCAGTTGTAGAGCCCAATGTACGGACCTTGGAACTTAGCCCTGATAGGAAGCTAAAAGGTCAGCCGTTTTCATACCAAGTATACTTGCACTAGTAGTAAACAATTGTGGAAACACGAATGAAGCTCTGAGTGTACCGACAGACATTGTCATCTGGCAACATTCGCGCTATGATTTGCGCTTCTGAAAACGGGTTGTTCTCCCACTCGGCAGTTCCTGAGAAATTGTAATACCTGGCAATCCAAGGTCCATTCGCTTTCGCCCCACAAGCATGGCAGACCTCCAAACCTTGCCACCTCGCACGGAATTGAAATGTCTTCCGATGCCAAGCCCAGTCTCCACGTAGTTCTGTCACAGTAAATGTTTCAGATCCAGGGCACAGCTTTTGCCCAGCAAACTTTGATAGGTTCTCAGAAAGAGGACCATGTGGCATCCACGTCGGGTGGTACCCTTCATAGGCAGCGTTGCACGACCACACAATTTTGCGTAGCACGCAGTTTAATGTCAGCTGTCCAAACAAAATGCGCTCAGGGATACAAAACATGAGAAACCGGCTTGATCGGCAAGATCTAGGCCGCCATAGGGGGAAGCTTAAGAACAAGCTCGCGATGGACTCAGATCCCACTTTCAAATGAATCGTCACGCCATCACCGTACAAGCCAATTGGAATGCAAGTGTCTCCAGCTTTACTCCACAGCGCCCAAGGTTCTTGATTTTCTCGAGATGTTTTCCAAAAATGTTTGACAGCGCTTTTGGGAATGTTGAAGGAGGTCGATCTATAAAGGAAGCTGATGATTGAGTGTGGGTACATGATAGGCCAGGATTCAATACGGTAGAACGGGTCTGTGCTCTTGGTCCTCTCAACCTTGACAGGGATGTCAATGTACTCCATCCTGCAATCCTTGCAGTGGGGATAGAATTGGTTAAATAAATGATATGGTGTGACTGACGCAGCTAGACTTGCAACTTGAGTAGCCATCAAGTCAGTTTTCATATACATTTAATAGTCAAGGTTCGACGCCATTGTCAAGAAGACGCCAAAAATCTCGAGCATTGTTCTTTTCGGAGATCAGGTTCCCTAGCCTTGCTGTAAGAGGATGAAGTCGGTGGGCAGGACCACAGTCCTTGGAATAATGCATTATAATTTATATACTCGTCCCCATTTCGCACACAGATTGGTCGATTCGATGTGTATCTCTTACTTCATTTCTGAAGTCTTCATGGCAATGCCAAGGAGCTTGGACGTGGGCCTTGATGTTCTTCATCGCTTTGCGTACAGAGCCGCCCTCAGGACAATTTTGGGAGGAACTCTCAACAAAAAAAGATGCGTGCATGCATGCAAGTCGATGCACACCGAACATGATGGAGAGCCGAGTGTCTCCACTGCTGACCTCATCAATGGCATTGATGAGCACACGGGATGTTCTGGCATGATCATGGCCTGAAATTTGCGCACGCTGATATACATGATCTTGTTGCTTCTTAATTTGTTGAGCTCAGATTTGCATGTGCAGTTCGATCAACTTTTGATCATAAGCAAGACACGAAGTAAACAACTGAAGCGGATCTCGATACATGTTTTTCCCCAGAGTGAATAACAGAGCTTGGTATGAAGCCGGGGTGGGCGTGAGTCCACACACACCTCTAAGGCTGCCATCTCGCACTCAAAAGGCTGTGTGTATTCACACAACCAAGCATCAAGACTATACCCCAAGAACAGCAGTGTGTGAGGCTTTGAACTGCGATATTAAAACAACTTTCTGAGGTTTCCTGCGATATCACCTGCAAAGTGGACATCAAACCTGTTATAGCGCTATGTCCGTGAGAGCTCCCACATTCCCGCTGCATCCCAACAAAATTACAATCTACTTCTTCAATAAATTATTTGAAGTCAGAAACTTGTCGTAGTCAGCCAGCATGGTCTTCGTAGTTGCGGTACATGCCTCCAGTGTGTCCTGCTAGGCATGGTAAACAGAGTTGATTTGTTTTGCTTGCAGGAAGATGCTAGCAAAAAACTTCATTGTCTACATCAACATCCACACGTGCTATACATGCACATGCTCCTCCATGCAATCGTACTTCTTCTGAAGCACATCCCGCTGTTTGCACATGCGGCTCTTCCAATCCCGGATCTCAGGAATGAGTGCCTTTTGCAAGTTCGCGGACCTGGGATGTGGAGGCTTGCTGATGAGATGGAGTGCTGAGTTTTGGAGGTTATATGAGATTGTGTGATGTAGCATATGTTTCAATAATCTAGTGAGCAAATATGATCAGTGGTTTGTTGCTATGTTTTACCTCTTCAAATTAATGAGAAAGAAAAACAAACCGATGGAGCTGGCTGAGGTCAAAGCATCTTGTTAATCAAATCCTCCTTTGTGGAGGTGCCCTGGATCTTGTTGGTGATCTGGTTCAGAACCTGTGAAGGCTGAAAATCTAACACCACCCCCTTTAGAGGAAACAACCCACCTGTTTCGATTTGCTCAAACGCTCGCGTTCATCCTTCTTTCTTTTCTGTTCCGCTTCCTTTTCCTGCTTCTTCTTGTCTGCCTCCACCCTCTTAAGCATCTGGGCCTCGGTTTCTTTCCTAGGTTTCTTATTTTTCTTGCCGTGTTTCTTCTTTCCGTGTTTCTTGCTCTTCTTCTTGGCATTCTTTTTGCTCTTCTTACCTCCTTTCCTCCGTTTCTTCTTGTCCTACAGGCAACTTTTGTGTT